TTTCAACTGTATCAGGTTCCTTTGACCATATTTGCATGTTTTCTAAGTCAGTGTCATTGTGACTGAGCTGGTGTCAGTGATAAAACTTGACTTCAAGTCACTGTGTGGTATCTGAGTCTCAGCAGTTGGCACTAAGGGAAACTACATTAGGCAAGATTTTTACCTACTATGATTGAGTAATGATCTGTTGAAAGAGGCATTAGGAGGAGATATGGCTTTAAAAAATGGAAACTCAGTGCTTCGCACTAAGTCGCCCATAGCTTACTTGCGCAGGTGTATGCAGACATACTCCAGGTCAAGGCGCTCACTTGTCCGGAATCTTTTGTTTGCCAGAGACACCGCAGCTGAGCCAGCTTACTGGCCGCACTGATGAGCGTGCACAAATTCTGAAAAGCAGGTGGAAAAAGAGAAAGAACCTCTGCCTCTGCCATTGTATCATCCGAGTGTTTAGCTTATGGCTGTTAGTATGTAACTTCCTAAAAACCAGGACTAGCTTTTGCATTTAGAATTAAAAAAAATACACTTTTTCAGTATTTTGCAACCCAAGTGTTTCAGCTTCTTACTAAGGAACCACGAAGCAAAAGTTAAAGTTGCCAGAAGCAAGGAACCGATTTCTGAGGTACTGCCCAGGAAGAAGCTCAAAGAGCACAACAATTGCTACTGCTGTTGGCAAATGCTTGATAGAGGCAAATACAGTAAGAAGCAAAGAAATAAAAAAGCCTCTCAATCTGCTACATAAAACTGTTTATGAAAGTTAGCTAAAATGAGACTGATCTAAACAGCAAGGTTGACTCAGACCATCTGTTACCGTTATGTCTGGCATAAAAGAATGAGAAAACTGACAAGAATGTGTGGAAAATGAGTCCAATTGGTGGGAAAAAGCAATGAAGGGAACAGACTATGCACCCTGTCATCCTCTTAAGGGGGATTTTGCAAAGGCAGCGGGTAGAGGGGACCTCCACATGGGTCTCTGTGGCATGCCCAGATTTCCCTTGCAAGTAAGGACTGGCCCCATTTGTATAATCTTTTGCATTAGCAACTCCAGTTCATCTCAATCAAATTTTAACTCAAAAAGGAGAAAGACCATCTTTAACCTGTTTAGGGCATTATCAGATATTTTTCTTGCAAAATTCTAGGACTTAAGGGAAAAAAGGTCTTGTGAAATCTTTAACATTCCCTATTTCAAATGTTTTGACTGATGCTCTATTCTTTTCCTCTCATGTTAAAGGTTTATTAATGGGGATTATAACATTAGGACTAAAGAGGCAATCTTTTTTCAACATCTTAAACGTTTGCTAATTTTAATTAAGGCACCACAATTAACAACTTTACCTCAGAACATAGGTTGTTTTTTTTTCCCCCTCCATAGAGTCTCTATTGCCAGCATTATGTTTTCCAGATACTCACAGAAGTGAAACAGCTCTATTTGAAAACTGGGGTTGTTCTGAGAGCTAACCCAAATGATTAATTCTTCCAAGGACAAATATAAGGAGAGATTTCACTGATCAAGACATCCAGAAAAAAAGTCATTTCATATGTGGACCTAATTTCAAATAATCATGCAGCACTTACCATGGCCAGGTCTATTATCCACTTCCGCAGTGTTAGCATGTACCAGCCCCCCCAAAATCTTACATTATGTTAAGTTTCATGGCACTGAAAATTCTAGGATACCAAAGCTCTCAAAACTGCCTGGGGAGAAAGATTTTTTTAAACATTTGGAAATAATCTTACTGAAACTTTATAACAGACTATACACTCTTAGATAAAACACATTAAGCACTGTTTGAAACACTAAGTGTTCCTATTTTTCACGCTTTGGTTGAACAATGCCTGGAGCTTCTCAAGACCTTCTCCAAAGCACAAGACTTGAGATTTAAGCCCAAGTCCTATTTAAAAAAAAAAAACACAATACACTGCTCTGTTCATCATAGCAAGTACAAGCTGCATGGGTAGGAATCAAAGAAAAAAGATTCATCATTTCCATCCAGCATCTCTAGCAAAGATGTAAATTAAGAATTGGTCTTACTCCTTATCAGTTGTGGGCCATCTAAAGCATAGCTACATATAAAGCTTTCTTCTGGTAGAGATTTTACTGTGATCCAAGAAATCAGCATGTGAAGGTGGAATGCATGTTGAGGGGTGGCTGAAAATGATTTACAATGGTAGCACAAAACAAATGATGACATAGCTGCTATGCAAAGAACTACCAAAAAAGCTACATAAACCAAAATTCCCAGATTTCAAAGGATACGTGACTGCATAGAACAAAGCTCGTTTCATGTTTCCATTGAAACGCAGAATAAACAAAAGGAGAATGACATCTGAAATAAATAAAAGACTGCTTGTCAGAGAAGGGAGAGAAAGGGCCTAAATGCAATTCTAGATGGAAGGAAGTAGTTCCACTGGGCACCATGTCTATGGAAACTGGTTTCTTACAGGTTTGTCTCTCAAATTTGGTCGATGTCCAAAACACACTAAGCTCCAAAATGAAACTTTTCTTAGAATCTGGAGCGTTTATAAGGTTTCTCTCCCACGTGGAGTCACTGCAGAAAGGATGAGCTTACGCTGCAACTCCGCCATGTGTGTATTAATTAGATTGTTCTCCTCTAGCTGACTATTTATTTTCATAAAATGTATAGGAATTCAATTATATTTGAGGTGTTCATTCTCTCTTCCCCCCGACCCCAGCTAGAATTGGTCAATGGATACACGTCATCGCAGTGGAGTACTGTATCTACGGGTCTTGGAGTGCTGAATAAGCCCTGTTTTATTTCCAAAACATGGCTTAAAAAAATTACCTTGTGCAATGATGATGGGATATTCCAGGTATGTCTGCAGAGGGTAACCATAATAAATCTGGTACCTCAGAAACACAAGGAAGCTGAACAGAAAGACACAAAACAGCGTGACTGCACGAAGGGACAGAACAGCTCCTTCACAACTTCTTTTTTACTGTTTTGGTTGTGCCAAAAGGCTCCAGACAGGTGTAGCCCCTGCTGTCAAACTGATCAAACAAATATGAAGACGAAGTGCAAGCCTGATGATTCTGTAGTCTATTTTTGTTAACCTCAAATAGCGTAAGATGTAGAGAGCTGCCCACACTTCTTGTCAAGGTCTTTGTGTCACAGTGTGAAAGGCATGATTTTATTAATTACAACTGATGAGAAAGAAATAAAGGCTTTCAAACCTAGAAGCTACCTTCTCTTTGCAATTGCCTTGGCACCTCTGGGATAACTGATTCCTTTATTTATCTCGGAAGTTCAATCTGTACACTAAGCAAGTTTTACAGGAGTAGAAAACATCTTCCAAGCTGCCTAGACTACAGTGTTAGAAGATTGCCCAGTGTAGCTGTACTGGTTAGACTCAGACCCTGTTCTTAAGTGCACCAAACAATGGCAATTCTCTTTCCTGCTATTCCACAATACAGTATCTAAAAGGAATTGAACTTTTATCACGTTTTCTTTACTTTCTTCAACTTTCATGCAAGTCTATGGGATTAGACAGAAACTTCAAGGCTGCAGAGAAAATAGAAAGGACTCTTGGGGCATAGTTTTATGTAAGGAAAAATTGATGGTTTCCGGTGTAGAAAGGTGGAATAAGGAACTGCTTGCCTTGTAAGAAACTGGCTTTTGCAGTATTGAAAATTTAAATATCTGAACTTCCTAGAAGTCTTATTTCTTGTAGGGTCAAATTATACTCCTTGCCATCAGCACCATGCGCTGTGTCACACCTCTGCCAGGTCACCGCATTCTGACTCTGCAGAACCATCCCAGTTTGTACCAGTAGCCCCAAAGCTCTCTGCAACTGGACCCAAAGACTTTAAAGGCTGCAGGATAAATAGTCTACTAAATAAACAAACAGTCCCAATAAATGTTTAAAAAAAGCCTTGTTGCAACTCTTCCAAAATAGTTTTGCGCAGAGCAGGTGCAGAACCCGCAGCCCTGTGGGTACCATGGTTATCACACAGGTGCTGAAGAGACATTTATGGCTTCTCCATGCTCATCTGAAACATTACTTATAAAGCCTTTTCAACGCACACCAACACACATGAATGATTTTAAAATGGTACCACCGCTTTTTGGCTGGGGCTGTTGGGTAAGTTACCCTCTGGTGGAACTAGAATTTAGTTCACGTACTCTGAGGTGTATTAAGGGTAAACAGCAACAACAGGGGTTCAGTGCCATGGAGAAATGTGGGCAGCGAACAGCCACAGTGGAGACCAAGGGAATTCTGCGCAGCTACGTGCAGAAAGGCGTCTGTACGCCTAAGCCTGTGCAGCGCCAGACCAGGGTCAACAGCTGTGCCCCTAACAGAAGAGGAGGCACAGGTGCATTCAGAAATGACATGCCGGTTTTGTGAGGCGATTTTTCTGAACAAAAAGCCCTTTTTTAGCTTGGTGCGAAGAGCTAGCAGCCATCCGCCTCTTCAAGGTATTTTCTCTCACATGCCTGTACCCACATTTACCTGTACGTGTACAGTTTCTGTATTTATTTTCCATTCCATACAATCCTCTTTAAGCAAGATTTAATAAGCCTAGCCCATGTAAGCTTATTACAGACCGACAGATCTTTGGAGTTTGACAAGGTTTGTAATTTTCTTAAAGAATGATTATGTTTTACTTATTTGGGTGAGAGAACCCTGTCTAACTGGTACAATTACCTGCACAACAGGGCACACAAACCATTTAATAACCCAACAGTAGGTGTTGCCTCTAGCTACACGGGTGGCCCGGGTTGGTTTTAGGCAAGTAAAAAAAGCCAAGTTTCTCTTTAACGAACAGTGTGGAAATGCTTTAAAATAGGAAGTTTCTGCTTCAAAGCGTTTGTACGCCCAGTGAAAGAGGACACAGCACCTGCACATGACAGGGATACGAAGAGTCAGCGGGCTCAGCGGAAGCTAACCACGTTGTAGAAAGGAGTGGTTTCAAAACCGGAGAGAGCAAGGACTGCTGGCCACCCCCTTCAGACAGCCACTCGGCACACCCTCATGCGTGACCAGAGCTGCGAAGGAAGGAACTTATTGCCGCAGCAAACCGCCCCTCGCCGCCCCGGCCCTCTCGCCCGCCGCTGAGGGAAGCCCCTCTGAGGCGAGGTGCTACCGCCTCACCCCAACGGCTCCTCCCGCCGCGTGCCCCCGAGCTGCGCGCGCAGCCCCCGCGCGGAGAACCGCCCAGTTGTCCCCG